AGTATTTCATGTTTTTTTTTATTCTATATTTTTGTATCTAAATTAAATTAACAGCTTTTTTAAAAAATATAAATAAAATTTTTTTCAAAATGCAAAATTAAAAAATAAACAAAGAATTCACTTAAATATTTTTATAGGGACAGTTAATGTCCATAAATAAATAATAATATTAAAAAAATACAATAAAATATTTAGAAATAATATAAATAAATATTTCAAAAAATAGAATTTGTTTATAATAATTTCATATTTATAATTTAAATTCAATTGTTTTAATGAATTAAAATTTCTATTTAAATACGATTGAATAGAAATCGTATTATATTGAAATATAATTAAAAAGTGGTTTAAAAATATACATTTAAAATAATAACTATATTTAAAAAAAACAATTAAAAAAATTTCCCAACTAGAAAAATGATCTTAAATTACAGGAAAAAATTATTATTTGAATACTGACAAAATAGCCTTTCAATTTTTACAGCAAAAAAGAAAAAAATGAAAAAATATCAGTTTCACAACCGCGCTTAATGCTAATGAATCAAATGGGTTTATTACCACAGAGAAAATGTTTTGTTGAATTGACAAATTGTTCCTCATTTTTTCCTTGGCTTGCAAAAAAATAATCTCGGCCGATATATTTTTAATACAATAATAAAATAAAATTTTTAACAGACTTTTTTCTCCAATCAATATAAATACAAAAATCTATATTATTTTTAATAATTTTCGTATATTATTTCATTGAAAACTGAGAAAAAAATTATTTCGGTAAAAAAAAATGAGGAAAGTACAATAACTAAATAAAATTTTTTAACAGACTCTTTTCTCAAATCAATATAATTACAAGAATTATTAATAATTTCAAATATTATTTAATTAAGAAATAAGAAAAAAATAATTTAATAAATTAATAATTTAATTAGAAAAAATGAAAGATGAAATATTGAATAAAAAAAAGAGAAACAAATTATTCAAGTAAAAAAGTAAGAAAAAGACTATTGAATTATTGAAAAAGAAAACATTTCAATAAAAAAGAGAGGACGATTAAAATATAATTTCACAATTAATAGACTATTAGACAAAAATTAAAAAAAAAGGTAAAAATAAACTTTGTTCAAATCGAAAGCCGTTACACTCGAGGGAATAATATGTACGCATATATAAAGTACGAGAAGAAAACTTGGAAACTCGAGATCAAACTTGAAGCAGTGGATCTCAAAATTCCCAATTTGAAAATTAAAAAAATCTTATTTCAAATTTTTTGAATTTGATAATTTTAATAATTAACGAAACAAAATTATAATTTATTAATTATTATAAAAATTATCGTTTAAAATATATAAATAATAAGAAGCCATCTGAGAATAGAGACAAAAATAATTTAACGAAAAAAAAGATAAAAAAAATGAATCCTATTTTTAGACAAATTGACAACTATTTTTACTTTTAAAAAATTATCTACTTCATGACACTCTACTGATTGAGCTCATTAATTCAAGTGTAATCCATATTTTTCAATAGATAAATTGTATATTTATCTTATCATAAGATAAACTTTTCAGTAGCATTATTAATATTATTCCCATAAAAAAATCGAAAATCCTCTATATTACAGAGTGTAAATAATCGACTGCCTGATTTCTTAGCGATAGAAAAATTAAAAAAAAAGTGTCCCTGAAGTTAGCGTCGAAGATGAAAATGTCACTAATTTCACTCCGTTCGTCCACCTCAGAAAGCCTAGAAAAGATAAAATTTTTCCGAAGTTTTTAGATTAAAAAAGTTTAGAGTAAAATCTTCGGAAAAATTGTATTCTTTTTCATTTCGTGAAAAAATTATTTTTCGACACTCAGCACCGACGCCAAATTCAGGGACCTAAAAAATAGATTTGTTTTTAAAACAATGTTCAAATGTCTCTTAAATAAAATAAGTATTTCAAAAATTTCGTAATTCTTAATGGACACTGTCCGTATAAATGTTATAAGTAAATAAATAAATTCGAATTAATTGGAATAAATAAATTGTGAAAAATTTGCAAATTTTCTTTTTTTATAATAATCAACTTTGAGAATCACTGACATCACTGACCTGTGTGTGTCTCATAACTTGAGACTATGTATATGTACGCAATATACATTACAAATACATGTACTCACTGTATAATATCAAACCACAAAGGATAGGTGAGGTCGCGAAATTGAAAAAAGTAATTTACTGTGATATAGTTATATAGGTATATGTTCTCAAATACTACTCGGTTCATTTTATACATTTGCCCTTTATAATAAAAATCATATAAGCAATTTTTTATCGCCAAATTGAAGAATTAAAAAGTCAATTATTTTCTCTGTATAATAATTTAATTTAAAAGTTTCTCCAAAACTGATTATCCTAAATCTATATTAATAATAAAATGTTGACACAAAAATTTAATTTTGTCATTCCCTGATTTTCATACAAAATTTTGACATTTTCTTTGACTAAAAAAATCTGATTTACTCTAAAAATTATTAGATTCAAAAAAATATTCATTTTTATTTACGAATTTCTTTACTTGTAAAATTATTATTCAAAAACATTAATTATTTCATTTTTTAATAAATATCTCATCATTACTATTTTTCCGTATAAGAATTAAAATTCTTCAAAACATTCAAATTCAAACCTTTATGAAATTTAACAACTTATAAGAATATTTATTATAAAACATGAAGAAATCGATCACTGCGAGTCTTCGACTCGGAGTAATTTGCTTCCTTCATGTTTTATAATAATTAAATACGACCGAGTGATAAAATCATTATTTTATATTCTAAGAATATTTTGTTACTGTAACTCCTTTAAAATTATTTTCCTCATTTCAATTCAATTATAATTTTCTAGAATTTTTAACTAAAATTCTTCTTTAAATCAATTTTTATTAGAAAATTCAACGAAAATTTAATTATTTCAATATAAAAATAAATAATTCATTAAAAAACTGAATTTTTTTTGGAATTAAATTCTTATAACCATTTTATCAACAAATTTTTGAATAATTTAATTATTTTAATAAAATTTTTAAGAATAATAAAATTTTTCGAGAAATTGGATTAAAATTTTATTAAAAAATTTCAATTCTACGATAAATTTTATTATTTTTGAAAATAATTGAATTCCTAAGAAGAAATTTATTAATTTATGAAAATAATTTAATTCCAAAAAAGAATTTTATTAATTTATGAAAATAATTGAATTATTGTGAAGAAATTTGTAAAAAATTTGTAAATAATTGAATTCCTGTGAAATTTTTATTATTTATGAAAATAATTAAATATTTGCGTAGAATTTTATTAAAATTTCTTTTAAATCAATTGAATTCTTTTGGAAAATTTTATTAAAATAGATAGATATTAAAAATCATTGAATTGATGAAAATATTTAAAATTGTGCCAGAAGTTTAATTAAAATTTTTAAAAATCATTGAATTTCAGAGTATAATTTTATTATTTATAAAGATAATTTTGCAAAGAATTTTATTACTTTTAAAAATAATTGAATTTCTGTAATTATTTGTATCTTCTTCAAAATTCAATTTTTTTTAGTGTTTTTAACTAAAACTCTTCTATAAATCCATTATCTTTAATAATTAACTAAATATATATATATATATATATATATATATATATATATATATATATATATTAAAAAATTTAAATAATTTCAGAAGAATTTAAATTATTAAAATTTTTCCAAAATCTAAGTTTTTTAAATTTTCTTATTTGAATTCTTTCAATTATTGAATGTTATTCAAAATTTTTGAAAATAATTGAATTTTTCGAGAATTTCCTGATATTAATTGAATTCTTGACAAGAATTATATTAAAATTTTTGAAAATAATTTAATTCTTGCAAAGTATTTTATTAAAATTATATTGAAAATAATTCAATTATTACAGAGCATTTTAACAAACTTTTTGAAAAATAATTGAATTTCCTCGAAGAATTTCATTATTTATGAAAATAATTAAATTGTTTCGAACAATTTTATTAAAATTTTTGAAAATAATTATATCCGTTCGAAGAATTTTATCATTTATGAAAATAATTAAATTCTTTCAAAGTATTTTCTTAAAATTGTATTGAAAATAATTCAATTCTTTTTCTTATGAAGAATTTAATAAAACTTTTTTAAAAATAATTGAATTTTGTCGTGAAATAAAATTAAAATTTTTGAAAATAATTGAATTTCTGTCGAGCAATTTTATTAAAATTGAAATAATTGAATTTCTGCGAAGAATTCTGTTATTAAAATAAAATTCCAGAATTCAATTCATTCTAACATATTTTTAAAAAATAATTGAATTGTGTTAAAGAATTCAATTAATATTTTAGAAGACAATAAATAATACAATTTAGTTAATTAGTTAATAAGTGACATTTTTTTAAACTTTGAATATGAAATTATTCAAAAATTGAAGTTGATATTTGAAAATAATTTAAATTGTATCAAAATTAAATTTTGTAATTTGCTTTTCAAGAATAAAAAAATTGAATGCAACGTAACATTTGCTAGTTTTCTTTTAATAAACTATCAAACTTGTTTCTTATTTCTATTTGTCTTATTTAAATATATATTTAAAAAGACAAAAGTTCATTTCTTCTATTTTAATTAAAAAATTTCCTTTTTTTCAATTTATTTTCATTTTCAATTCGGAATATAAATATATTACTTATATTAAATTATAGTTCATGTCTTTCGACTTTGAACGTATATAAGTAATATAATTAACTTAAAAAATCTCTCTTAATATTGATTCAAATAATTTAAGAATCTAATTGATAACTACGCTAGTGGACCATTGACTATACAAATAATAATGCAAGGCACTTACCAATCACTAATTTGCAATTGAATTTTCAACAATACACAGAAAAAAATTGAGTATAAATTTTTCTCCGTGAATTGAAGGAAAAAAAAAGAGTTATGTAATGATATAATAATTTCGAGAAAAGGATACATTGAATCATGTCCTGAATGCTGAGGGGTGAAAGTTCATCCTGCGAGGAATAACAGGTTGTGAATTCTTTTCTGAGGTCATGAAAGTAGGAGTAATGACTTGGCAGTTCGATTTCTTTATTACAGGCTTCGGGGTGCAAACATTGTCTTAAGGGTGCTTGTCCATCGACAATGAACCGAGGCGTACTTCCGGCAGCTACACACGTCAACGAGGACCACCACGTTTCAAACTGAAAGAAAACCAAAATTATTACTTTCTATTATCGACACAAAAAATATTTTATATTTCACTATCAATACGAAAAACTATTATTTTTTATTATCAATACAAAAACTATTTATTTTTACGATCAATAAAAAAAAACTATTTCTGTTTTTATCTATACAAAAACTATTACTTTTAAAAATTAAAATAAAAAGTTATTAATTTTTACTATCAATACAAAAACTATTACTTTTTAATATCAAAAATAAAAATTATTAAAATTAAAGAAAACCATCAGCATAACAATTTTCTTTTTTTCTTCTTGCCTTCTTTCTCATTTTCGTTCTTTCTTCTTTTTTTTCTATTTGTTCAATTATTTTTTATAATTTTAATAAAATTTTTTATGAAAATCCAATTATTTTCAATACAATTTTAATTAAATTGTTTGAAAAAGTTCAATTATTTTTAAAAATTTTGACATAATTCTTCTTAGAATATCAAATATCTACATATTTTCAAAAATTTTAACAAAATTTTATTTTAAATTTTAATATAACAAAATTCATTGCAAAAATTCAATTATTTAATTTAAACAATAATGAGTAAATTTTTGGCAAGAATTCAATTATTATCGTCATAAGTAAAAACTTCGAGAGTCTTTGTTGAAATCTGATTATTTTCAAAAATTTTAATGAAACTCTTGACAAAAACTCAATTATTTTCAAAGATTTTAATAAAAATCAAGACATAAGAATTCAATTATCTTTATAATTAAAAATCTCTAAAAATTATTTATAAGAATTCATAAATAACAAAATTCTTTCTGGGAATTCAATTATTTTCAATACAATGTTAATCAAATTTATCGTCAAAATTCAATTACTTTTTAAATTGTAATGAAATTTGTCGAAGGAATTGAATTTTTTTCAAAAATTTAAATAAAATTTTTGGAAAGAATAAAAATATTTTCAAAACTTTTTAATAAAATACAATAATCTAGAATTTAATTAGCTTCATAAATAATAAAATTCTTTGCAAACATTCAATTTATTATTTCGAAAGATTTTAATAAAGTTCAAGACAAGAATTCAATTATCTGTATAAATAATAAAATTCTTCGGAAAAATTCAATTATGTAACTATCTTCATAATTAATTAAATTCCTTACAAAAAACCGATTATTTAAAGAAATTTTAGTAATATTTGTGTCAAAAATGTAATTATTATCTAAATAAATAAAAATCTTCGAAATTCTTCGTCGAAATACAATTATTTTCAATAATTCTTGACTAAAATTCAATTATTTTCAAATATTTTAATAAAATTCAATTATTTAATTATATTCTTGACAAAAAATAAATTATCATCGTCAGAAATAAAAACCTTCAAAATTTTTTGTAAAAATTCAATTATTTTCAAAAATTTTAATAAAATCCTTGCCAAAAACTTAATTATTTTCAAAGATTTTGATAAAAAGCAAGACAAGAATTCAATTATGTATAAATAAAAGTCCTTAAATTTCTTCGCCGATATTCAATTATATTAAAAAATTTTGCACAAAAATTGAACATAAATTCATAAATATCAAAATTCTTCCTGGAAATTCAATTACTTTCAAAACTTTTTGTAAAATTTGTGTCAAGAATGTAATTATTATTTTAATAAATAAAAATCTTCAAAATTCTTCGCCGATATTCAATTATTTTCATAAATTTTAATAAAATTCTTCATAAAAATTCAATTATCTGCATAAATAGTAAAATTCTTCGCCAGAACTTCAATAATCTTCAAAATTTTAATAAAATTCTTCGAAACAATCCAATTATTTTTAAAAATTTTAATTAAATTCTTCGTGAGAATTCAATTATTTTCATAAATAATAAAATTCTTATTTTTATAATTGAATTTTTAAAAATTAGAATAAAAAATTTTAAGAATTACTTTTTCAACAATTTTTTTAGAAGTTAATTTTTATAAATTTTCATTTTTAAGATTTTTTTTAAAAATTTGTTGAGAATTCAATTATTTTCAATATTTGCAATTAAAATTCTTCAAAAGTTGATTTTCAAAAATTGTAATAAATACCTTGAAAAAATCAATTATTTTCAAATTAAATTTTACAAAATTTGAATTATTCGAAATATTTTTAATTGTATATTTAGAAAATTTAATTCGAAAAATGATTCAAAAATAATTTTTGAATGATTTGTCTATGGTTATCTTTCACACTATAAAAATCGAAGTAAGTGCATTTTTACTGAAAATGTGATATTTTGTTGTAATATTTGGTAGAAAAGTCAAAACAAGTCGCAATTTTTGAAAATAAATCGAAAAAGTCATAATATCCGAGGAAGAAAAGAAGAATAAAAAAAGCTTGTTTTTTTATTTTATTTTCTTCTTTTTCTCTTTTGTTTTGTTCCTTTTTTTATTTTTTCCCCCTTTGTAGCTAATTATTTTTCAACAACAATAATTCAATTGAAAGTGAAAAAAAGGTAGACACGGGAAATAAAAAAACAAATTCATTTTTTGTTGCGTCACTCTACTATTTCATTTTCTTCCCATTTACGAAAATGCTTTTGAGGAAGTGACTTGTTGAATTCTTGGTCCTTTTGAGAAAATAAAACTTTAAACCGTGTGTTCCCATAGGGACTTAAAAGGTTTCGTCGGGCCAGGAATTTTTTCTTTAACTTTAAAAGGGACGATTACCTTTGCTTGTATACAGTTATATTGCATTTAAAAGGAACTACCTGAAAAAATTCCTGACACTCTGACCCAATCCGAATTCGAAGGCAATTTTATTCTTTAAATCCACCCAACAGGTTGTTTTTCCTTTTTAATTTACAACATTTCAAGGCACAGGGAAGATCTTCTCAATTTCAACTTTTGAACAAGTGTCAAATTTGAAACTGTTTCAAACATTTTTCGTATTATAGTCTTTTAACTTTTAATTAAATTCTCTTCACAAGATTACAATTATTTTTAAAACTTTTATTTAAATTATTCGCAAAAACTCAACTATTGTCGTACATAATAAAATCCTTCGAAGAAATTTAATTATTTTTAATGCCATTTTAATAAAAATTTTTAATGTATTTAGTTAATTTCAAAATTTTTAATAAAATTTTTCAAAACAATTCAATTATTTTCAAAAATTTTAATAAAATTCTTTAAAAACATTCAATTATTTTCAAAAATTTTAATAACATTATTTTTAACAATTCAATTATCTTTACAAATCATTAAATTCTTTGCCAGATTTAATTATATGTTTAAAAACTGTAATGAAATTTTTCGAAAGAATTCAATTATTTTAAAAAATTTTGATAAAATTCTTTATAATAATTCAATTATTTCCAATACAATTTTAATTGAATTCAACATAATTCTTCGCAGAAAATGTCAATTATTTTCAAAAATTTTAATAAAGTTCAATTACCTTCATAAATAACAAAATTTTTCGCAGAAATTCAATTATTTGAAAAATTAAAAAAATCCACTGCAAAAATTCAATTATTTTTATAAATAATAAAATTCTTTGCATAAATCCAATTATTTTCAATACCATTTTAATAAAATTTCTCTTAAAAATGTAATTATTTTCAAAAATTTTAATAAAATTCTTTACCTATAAGAATTTATAAATAACAAAGTTCTTCCTGGAAATTCAATTAATTTCAAATTAATTTTTATATAATTCTTCGGCAAAATTCAATTATTTTTAAATATTTTAATAAAATTTTTCGAAAGAATTGAGTTGTTTTCAAAAATTTTAATAAAATTCTTGCAAAGAATTGATTTATTTTCAAGTTTTCAATAAAACTCAATTATCAAGAATTTAATTACTTTAATAAATAAACAAATTCTTTGCAAAAATTCAATTATTTAAACAATTTTTAGTAAATTGTTGGCAAGAATTCAATTGTTATCGACATAAATAAAAATTTTTTAAATTCTCAAAATTCAATTATTTTCAAAAATTTTAATAAAATTCTTGCAAAGAAATGAATTATTTTCAAAAGTTTTTAATAAAATTGAATTATCAAGAATTTAATTACTTTCATAAATAAAAAAATTCTTTGCAAAAAAATTCAATTATTATTTAAACAATTTTTAGTAAATTGTTGTCAAGAATTCAATTATTATCGACATAAATAAAAATGAAAAGATTATTAATTTTTTTACAATAATTTTGCAAGTAACTATTTTTGTTTTGGAATGTTAAATAAAATTTACAAATTGAATTGTGATTTTTAATTCAAACCAATATCGTTTAATTAATCTTTGTTAGTATTTTATCTTTAAAACATTAAATTAGAAAATTTCATTAATTTTTATATTGAAAAAAAAATTATTATTATATTTATAATAAAAAAAAAATTTATAGGAACAAAAAGGTGGTTTAATTTCTTCACTTGAGAACGTCAAAATCATCACTAGGTGGCGTGGGATCTGATTTTATCAATTGAACTGCCATCTAGCAGTGACCTTGGTGTTCTCAGGTGGAGAAGAGCAACTCCATATTGAATCTCAAGTTGTTCGTAATTTTACAATTGTCTACGATCAGAAATTCAATCTACAGAGTTTGACAATTGATGTGTAAATATAGATTTCAATTTTGAATTCACTTTAATTTGCAATTTTTATGGTCTATTTTTTTTTAAATTTAAATTAGTCCTGGACTTAAATTGTTTACTAAATAAATTGATTTTTAAAATCTCAGTTAATGCAATAGTGTATACAATTGTCAATTAGTAACTTGTTTCAACAAAATTCTTTTAATTAAGGAAAAAATAACACAAACATAACCTTAAAATGATTTGTTTCTTTCGGAAATGACCTTTATTTTATTCTTCATTCAAGAAGAAGAAGAAGAAATCTTTCTTCGAAACGTAAATTAAATTTTTACCCTTCTTTAGAAATGAGAAAAGAAACAAACAGTATACGCACATTTAAAAAGTGATTAAAGCGTTTAGAGTGTTATGATAATTTAAATGCTTTACATACGGTGTAACAAATATAAAACGA